GCTGAGTGCAGCGGGCGCGGGAACTTTCGGGCAGGTAGAGAGGGCTGCCCCGGCGGGGACCGACTCCGGCGGGAGCCGAGTCCGGCGGGGACCCGCACCGGAGCTCCTGGCGACCGGGGCAGGGGCCCCGGTGACGGGAGAACAGCTCCGCCGGGGCGGCGGTGGCTCCGGGCGGCTCCCCCGGCGAAGTCCGCGGCTCAGCCCCGACACCCAGAAAGGTCCGCGCAGAGCCTTACCTTCCCTGCTTCGTGATGATCATCTCCGTCTGGTGCCGGTGAAATTTCAGCCAGAGTGGCCTGTTGCACAGGTAGACCTGAGCCTTGCCGGGAACCAGCCCCGGCTGGGTGGAGGAGAACTGGTAGAAAGGTGCCCCTTGGTAGGAATGGCCATACTGCTGGGGGTACGGGTAGCCCGCCGTGGGGTAGCCTTGCGGAGAAGAGTTGGACAGGAGACTGTTATAAGCTCCGTTGGTGATCACAGGATGATGAGCCATGTAGCGGCTGGGGCTGGCGATGGAGAAGGCTGGGTGAGCAGGTCCATGCTGGCTGGGATAAGGGAACATGGTACTAGGAGCAGAGGCAGCAGACTGGGGCTGGCTGGACTGAGAGAGCAGATAGCGATCTGCAGCAGATCCATCGAAACTGTGACGAAGCTCAGAGACCCCGTCCAAGACGGGAGAGAGTTTATTTCTCTGGACGTCCCCTGGTGTGTCCTTGGAGTCAGGAAAATTGTCTGTATCTGACTGATTCGTCATCCCCCTGGTAATTTTTTTCAAAGGTGAACTTCTCTCCAGGTTGTCAGTGGTCGAGATAATGGGATGATCATGCAAGGCAAGCTCAGATCCGCCTGCATGTGGGTAACTGCTGCTCACATTGAGAAATTTCTTGGAGAGCATGATAGAGGGAGAAAGACAATGCTCCAGCTGCATAGCTCTAGCACCACAGTAATAACCCTTCAGTCCCTGGATCTGAAAGGGCTTCCTAGTATCAGAAGCTAGACATCCTGGGACCCACACTAGGCAGAAAGCACTTCATCTACCAAATGCTTCCCAAACGTTTGATTTACTTTTTTTTTTTTTTTTTTTTTTTTTTTTTTTTTTTTTTCCTCCCTTCCCAGGGAGAAGAGATTGGCCAATTGACACTATGCAGCAATCAGGAAAGACTCACTTTTGATCTTGCTGCTTGTGGAGAGGATGAAACGGCTTCTGCCATTGGTTAACCGCTGACAGTAATTTAATTAGATAGACATTAATTAGGATAATCACCTGGCTCCTGGTCGCGACGATCATGGCAAATTGAAGGAGATGATTTTATTGTGAGATAGAAGGAAGGGAAAGGGGGAAGGGAAGAGTGTGTTTGCTGTGAGAGCTCATTATTATGTGACCTTTCTAGCTTTTTTTTTTTTTTTCTTTTTTTTTGACTACGGCTGGAAAATAAATCCGCACCCGGAGATTACCCAAATACTGCGCGCGTGTACCCCACCTTTGTGCGTCAGGGAGAAGAGCGGGTCCTGGGCGCGGGGAGCGCGGGGCTCGGCGGCCGCTGCCCTCAGCTCACCCCCGCGGTTTGTCCCCAGCGGGGCGCAGTCCCTCTCCCCCAGCTCTTCTGAGCGATCCCCGGCGCATCGCCCCCACCCTTCCCACCCGTGCCTGTTTCGCGGGGGAAAATACACCCTCCGTCCCCGCTGACAGTGGCTGCGTATCATCTCTTTTAACTTCTGAAATAATCATAAGCCCCGCAGCCGAAGTGCCCTAATGTATTTGCCGCGATGTTTACGGGTTCTTTAGTAAATAAATATTTTATTTGGGAGCCGTAATGCCGGAGATTATCAGCAAAACAGCGTGGAAGGCGTCCACCTCCCCATCCGTCTCCGGATTCCTCTCCTCTCGATGCCTGCTTTCCCTCAGTGACTCGGTCCCGCGGGCAGCTCTCGGGAGGGGCAGGTTCCTGGCAGCACCCTTGCCAGGGGCCGCGGGGTCGGTCGGAGCTGAGAAACCCAAACCACGCCGGTGCTGCGGCGGGAGCCGCCGGCACCCCGTGCCCAGGGGCGTCTCCGCGGGAGCCGCGGCCCGGCTGCGCTGCCAGGCGGGCCCGGAGGCACCGGCCGGCGGGGCCGGGCTGTGCGCGGCCAAACCGCGGGCGAGTGACAGCGGCACCCTCCAGGGCGCAAAGCTGCGCCTAAGAGTTCAGGGGGCCCGCTCGCCACCCCGCCTTTGCCAAGCACCAGTCTCAATTTCTCTTCCTAGGGAAGCCTGCCTTAAGAGTTTAAAAGCACGGGGTTTGTTTTTCGGTTTTTTGTGGGTTTGGGTTTTTTTGACCATTCCATTTTTCTTAATGTTGTCCCCTTAGTGGTTTGGACTTCAGGTATTTTACAGACCACATGTCTTCCCAGGTGACATCAGCAACCGGCTTCAAATTTCACTGACAGATAATGCAGCCTGAACCACCACACCACATAATAAAACTGAACCACCACATAACTGCCTGAAGCCAGACTGAAACTTTGCAAACTCAAATCCACAGAAGACTAGAACCAGGATGACTTGACAGAATGTGTATTTCAATGCTTTCAAATCCGGTGGCCATTTATTTTTTTGTTGCTTAACCGTGAGCTACTTCGGTTATTTGGTATTTCATAGATGCTGACGCACACACAATCTCTGCAAAGAAATTATTCTAATAAGACAATTTATGAAGCAAAAAGCAAGCAGTTCACTGTTCTACTCGAGTGGTTCAGCGCATGCAAGTTTCCATACACCACCTTCTTTCAGTGTTAAGAAAACGGTTTCATTATTATCAGTTCTAACTAATGTTTCCGACACTTGTTTCACCAGAGCTCACCCTTCCCTTTCCCTGTTTGCAACAACAGAATGGTAATGGACTTATACAGGCAGGAGATGGACCGAAATGCAGATAAACCCTCGGAAACGCTGCCCTGAATTACAGAGCTACAGCCATATAGATGTGGAGCTGCAATGAATTCAGTGGTATACTGCCAATCACATGGAAGTGCTAATATATGCCAAAAATCTTCAGTGCACAACTCCTAAACTGGTATAATAGGGGGGATATGCAATGGCAGGTGGTGTTACAGAATCGTCATAGAATGGAGTGAGGTTTGCTAATACAATATGCCCGTCCTTCACGCTGACAGGTGACAAGGGGTCATGCTGCTAATGAAGGTCTGCTCCATTGCGGCTGGAGGCTCAGAAGGTGGCTGCTTGAAAATCTCTTTCTTCCTCCAACATCATATATGGGCTGCTGCTTTTCAGGTTATGGCATACACACAGTTCTTCCAAATCTGTGTAGCTCCTAAAGCACTGGACAAAAATAAGGAAGGATGCCCCAAAAACCTGCCTTCTTATTATTCATGTAAGATCTTGGTAAATGGAAAATTGTGCCTCCAAGTTAAACCGAGGAGTGAATAGAAAGCAGGGTACCACAGCACAAGCTTATACTACGGGAGATCTGCATCTCCAACAGACTCTCTTCAGCTACCCTCTGCAAGATGTACATTTGTCAAAATTAATTTAGAATATGTAAGACTCACTGGTTTGTCTCCCTGCTTACACCAGCCTCTCACGCATGTATACACTGCAGCACTGCGCTAGCTCCTCTCCTGTTCTGCAGTGCCATGTTACCCACGACCTGCCAAACTCCGTCTCCCTCGTGGTGTTACACGTGTGTGTGGGAGTAGAGAGCGGCAGGGATGCTGAGCCCCCCTGGCAGACGAGCCCCAGGGCAGGTCCCTCGTTCAGCTCCTGCCCCATCTCACCCCGGGCGTGCACATCGGGCACTGCAAGGCCCGACTGCAGCCCTCCTCAACCACCCGCAGGTTTGCAGTGGGAATCTCCAGAAAGAACTTCCATTTAACTACACGCAGGCGAATGTGGTTTGGTATGTCTCCATTTTCCCAGTCTGATATTCCACTGCCTACTGTGGGGGCAGAGGGAAGGCCATAAGGAGGGCAGCTGCAAAAATCTGCATGTTTCCCTCTGAAGTAAGTGCACGCTAAATATACTTTGAGAGAGAGTTAGTCTAAAATAGTAAATTAAAAGGCCTCAATAAGAAATTTCAAACAAAAGAAAAATCTTTGAATGGTAAAGTGTAAGTAAATATGGCCATAAGCCAGAAAATAAGACAATTTAAGGGTTATTTCCTTAAGTATGCAAATAAGAAGTCAATTTTTAAAAAATTATCTTCAACAGGAGATGCAGAGTTTTGAAATATTTGCCTGCCACTACTGTTGCTGTTTACTAAAAAAAAAAACTCAAACCAACAGTAAAGAGAAAAAGAAAACTTCTGTCCAGACAAATCAGCCTAAACAACATTCAACACTTGAAAAAAAGAACCCTAACAAAAATTCCAATCAGTCCCTGCCCAAAACCCAGTGTCACTCCCCACACCCAGATATTTGGCTTCGCTTGCTTCAAACTAAGCAAACCACCTGCCTTCCTGCAAGTGTTTCTCTCTCCAATCAGCAGAAATTATTTTAAATGTCATATTCTAGTTGGGACTCTTTCCATATATTTATATATATGGACATTTCATGTATGTTCTCTCATAGGAGGGTGGGTTCATGTAATCTAGAACAGCCTCTGTCACTTTAATGTTTATTCTCAGAATACTGCTATTTATGACACCGCTTGTGAGAGTTCTGTGATTCAGTTATCAGCAACTGAATTAATTTCCTTAAGGTCAGTTGTCTTCTGTAGATATTAGGGTTTGAATGACATTCAAAGAGAACTGACAAGAGGAATTTTCAGCATTTTGGTTTTGTACATGCTTGGAATTCAGCATGATGATTTTTTTTGTTCTAATCTCCATATGAGACTAACTGGTAATCAATGGGAGCCAAATTCCAGTAGAGAATTTCTGCTTTCCTAGCAATTAGAATTTCAGTAGTTTTACAGTGGGGGGGGAACAAATGTTTACTAACACTTTTTCTAGTTTGTTAACTCCCGCTGTCCTTTCTCAAAAAACACTGTCCAGAACTTAAGACAGATTTGTAAATGTATTTTTATTATGTTGCAACAATCAAAATATATATGTACTACTGATTTTCCCCCCCAAATATTAAATGAAAACGTACTCCATTTTTTCCCACATTGTGTTCTTGAATACTTTGGAATTTGTGAGGACCCTGACATAAAGAAACTGAAGCAAATACACAATTAGAGACTGAGAGGTGTTATAGTGCTGCACTTACATTGCAAATGAAGTCAGATGTCTCGGTTTAATCAAATAAAGCCTCAACAGTCTCTGTTTTGTATAAGAAACAATAAACAAATATACACAGAAAGTATCACCAACGGTAAATCAGTTATTTAAATACAACTGTATCCAACATAGCAGCTAAACACTGGACAATGTTTGAGGTCATCAGCACATCCACATGCTCTTCTAAATGACGTTTAGGGTCCTGAAATACAAAGGATGCCCATGAGAAGAATGACTGAAAAACGTCTCTGAAAGATTTCATTTACTTCAAGTCTATTCAAGATGTCTGTGAGTTAATGAACACAGGCCAGTAATGCTCCTAAATTTTCCATTCTAGGAAGACTTAGCAAATGACTGAATTTCCATGAACAAAATTTTATTAATTCATACTAACAGTTAAGCTGAGGATAGGATTAGGAAGCAAATTTCTACCCAGTATCTCAAGAGTAACCATGGCAGATGTGAGTTAGCTTAAAGGACAATACACAACATGTGAATTTTATGATACATCTCACCAATATTTTAATCTTAGTTCTGGTACACTGCAATTTGTTTTCAGATCTTTGCAAATGTGTGCTCTAATCCTGCAAAGATTCAAGCACTAACACAGCCTTTGAATAGTTGTGTTGACTGCAAGAAAATTAGTGTATCTATACCCATAAAAACATGAAACGTGAACAATGCCCTGTCAAATGCTCTTAGGAATTGAATGTTAAGCCTGAGCAATTTTCTGAAAATACATACTTTTACACACTATTACTCAACTGATGTAGGCATTTGTGGGCATCTGCATGCAACAATAAGATTATTTTTGGTTGAAAATCATACCCATGCACTTCTTCAGTTTCACCACTGATACAAAATAATTAATCTCCAAATACTGCAAAAATATCAGGCATACCTCAAAAAGATGTCTAAAGTTTATTATAGTATTATTGTAGTAATTATTGTGTGTAAAGAAATTAAAATATGGAAGACAATCATACATGAGAATTGTAAATTCTTTAAAGATGGAATTATGTCAAAGTGTAATGAACCCATTTAAATTTACATAGAAGAGTGCTACTCAATCTGTGCATGCTGCCCTTCTTAAATAACTCCTTTTCAAAGATCAGACAGTTCTCCAATATTCTTTCGGTTCCTAACAAATTATACACCTAATAAGATCATACCCCTATTGTGAGTGGCTGCTTGTTTACAAAGCTTTTTATCTAAGTTGTGCATAAAACCCCACTTGAAAATTACTTCACTGAACCATTTTTTTCATTTAAAGGAAACTTAAAAATTTTATCAGGAAAAAATTATTTTATTTTTGAAGAATTGTATCAAAATAGTTTTTTTCATGTATGCGTAACAACTAGTGAAGCTCAAGTTCTGTTTGAGATGACATCATAACCCTTAAAATACAACCCTTCTTACATATTTTATGTGTATATATTTATGTATGTGTAGGTGTGCATAAACTCCATTGTTCTGAATGCTACAGAAATACATGAGTGACTGAACAATAGTGCAGATGTGTTATGACATTGCTGCTAGAAGCTGACACATAAGAGCAATCCAGAATCTTTTAAATTCTTCTGCTGCTACTAGCAATACAGTAAGTACTGGTTCTTTAAGGACACACTAGATCTTTTAAAAGCTATTTCTTGTTTTCATTGCCCTTCTTGAACACAAGCTCTTACAAATTTCCTTTGCTCTTCTCTTGGTCACAAGAGCACATTTCTTCAGTCTTTATGTTGAAATCAAATGTAGAAATAGTTTTTTGTTGAGTCTTTAAAAAGAAATTATATCTTAACATTGCAAAGTGATGGTAATGAATTGAGTGGGTATTTTCGGTTTCAGCTGTGGTCCTAAACAGTTTTCCTCAAATACCAATACAAAGGAACTCAGCCTACCTGCCAAGTGTGTCTGAGAGCTAAGCACTGACAGTGTGTTCATGAACTGAAGACAGGGGTGAGCTGGCTTTTTACATGTTAATGTACATGATAATGTACAAACGCACCCCTTCGCCTCTGTTTCCGTGATCATTTGGTAAGTGTCTCCACAGTTTGGGTCTCTCTGAGACAGACTTGGATATCATTACGTCTCTTAGAAGAAGTTACAACAAATGAAGAAGGAAAAGGGAAAACTACTAAGTTTCAACACTGCTCCTCAGCACATAATAAAAACACATACAGAACACGGCTTGCAGACATTCTGCCAATTACCTACAGTCAAAGGCCCTGTTCCTTGCACAACTCCAACAAAAATAAATTTATTATTTGAGGCTTTGAGAATATCATGCATGTAGAACTAAAATCACCTCCGCACATGTAAAAAATTAGTATTTAGAATGAACGAAGCATATAATTCCACCTCACTCTAATTCATCACACCTCACCTGCTTGCCAACATTTTTTATTGCCAGCTGTTCAGGTGTCATCTTATCTTCTTCTTCAACAGCCTGTGAAAGAAACACAGAAAAGGTCAGTGTTTCAGATTTCATTTACTTTTCCCCCAAGCCACAGATTCTCAAAATACAATTCTGTTCCTTAAAAAAAAAAAAAAAAGAAAAAGGAAAAAAAATCAAACAGCGACACATTTGAGAAAGTCAAAAGGAAAGGTACCTCAGCTTTTCAGCAGACGTGGTTTTAATTACTGAGTGTTAGTGCAAAAGATCAAGGCAAATACTTGTGAATGGTTTTACTGTCACTATTTACCAAAATGTTAGTAAGCAAAATTCTTAAATGAGCAGTATCAATAGTTAAAGATAGTTAAAAACAGTAAAAATAACAAAATAGAACCAAACTCAGCATTTCTATACTGTTTTAACTACTGGAGATTTGATCTCAATATATTTTTGTACTGATTAAAGTAATTTATTTTAATATATTTTGATACGGTTATGTTGCCTTCAAATATAGTGTCCTCATAAATTTCATCCACTAACTTAACTAGTGAATGTAATGCTGAATTTTGGTTATAAGGACTTCTAAGGATTTAAAAAAATAACACTTGTTAAGAATTACTGACATGATTACTACTCATAGAATGCTTGTTGAGATCTAGTATTTCTAAGAAACATTTCTAAGTGTGTCAGTATTAAAACAGGACAAGCAGCTGTGATTCCTCTTACTTACCACACCAATAAGAAATTTCTTATCTAAACAGAACATTGAACTGGGCTCTTGAATGCATTAAATACTTACAGACTATCTACTGGACTGATACAGAGAAATAACCTTTACTCTGCCACACTGATCAAACAGTCCTAGACTAAAGGACTGAAAAATTTGACTAACTGCTCATTTTGATCTACAGAAATCTTACATTCTTGTCACTAAGTAAAAATACAAAATTGCTATGATTACTCACATTTCAAAGCAAAGCATGTAACTAAACACGTAGCTGATTAGTCTGAACTACAGTCATTCTGAATAATAATCAATTCCTTCTGAAATTAGGTAACTAATTTCTTCACTTCATAAACACAACTACACTTATACTATCATTACGGGATATGAATACCTTGTTATAATTCTTAGCTAATTCTAACATCTCCTTCACTACTGTTTCATTGAGTTTGCAATGTTCACTGTAGTCCTGAAGTGTCAAACCTTCCATCCAACTCTTCTTATGCAAATTAAGCAGCATCTGGAAGACAAAACATCTTTAGAGTATTCACCATAAAATCCTTTCAGAATATTATGAAGATCTCTTTGACAGGTAACCAATTTATAGGAAGAATATAAAAAAAATATTGATCTTATAATGTCAGTGTTTAAATAGAGGAAATACAACGATAAACTACTCTACTAGAGTAGAAGATAGATTTGTATACCTTTTAAAGATCAAACTTCTTGAATCCTAAATATGAAAATGAGGCATGAAAACATGGGTCAAATTTACTTTGACAGGAATATGTAGATTTGTCTTCTGGGGTTTGTTACTTTTGCTGCAGGTTAAGAATGCACAATTGCCTTGTAGCAGGGCTAAGAGAAAATGAAATACTTTAGCCACCATATAGTTGACTAGTTGAAGCCTTTGGCCTCTAATGAAGTTGAAAAATATTTTAATGCTTGGATTAAATTCATAAGGCTTCACTGATCTGTATGCAAGCAACTGACAGTTATGATAAAACAGACTTCGAAAGTGACCAAAGCATGACTTGTGTCTTTGCCTCATACAGAACAAGCAAGCATAAAAACCATAGGATAAAATGTGCAGAGATTTGATGGTGATAAATGCAGGCACTATTACACATATTTGAAAGATTTTTTTGACACTTTCATGTCATCTTGAAAGAGCAAAGGAATAATAAAAATAGCAATTTCTTTATTTTCATGAATAAAGGAAGTGTATTTTTGTGGATCTCCTGCACACTCGATGACTATAGGGAGGACCCCTTCAGCAAACAGTCTCAGCTTGCCTTCAATTTGTGAACATTTACTAGACATTTCTGAGAACTGGTAACCCCTGTAATTGCTATCACCTGAATAAAAGTACCTGTTTCATCCTATGTAGAGCTTCCAAAGCAACCTGGCTTTGGAACATGTGAACTGAGCAGAAAGTTTGTGTCATAATTAGTGTTAGCAAGATCTTAGCTGCTGACAGAAGGAGTCGTAGGCAAACTGCATATGGACAGTTTAGCTAGGCTATCTTGATTTTAAAATTAAGGTTTGGTGTGATGAGCTCCTAATCTAATACATGAAGCATGTACTCTTCTTACTACAGATGGAGATAACAGATCACCACCATCACAAGGGGGGTTTGAGATATGTATGAAGCTGTCTCATGAAAGATGTGAGAGAGTTCTTGCCTCACAGATAAAAGTCTTCCTAACTTGGTCAAGATAATTCTCCTACTTGCAAAGGTAATAACCCACTTATATAAAGCCACTGACGAAAATACACACTTAGAACTTCAGACAAGACTGGATTTGGCAAATGGCTGCATTTCACTGGAAACAATAATGCCCTGGAAGCCTCACCGACATTTCCTGAGAGAGCTGGTTTTGTTCAATCAGTTACTCCTTTCAGTAACAGTGAGGTCTTGGAAGTTTGATACTGCAATAAAAATGGTTGTGCATTTCACACATTCTTTCCAACTCCTTAACTTGCACACATATTCCTCCACTATTTGAAACTGTGTTCTTTTCTTATTACTTGGAACTCAGAAAGTCTGAATTCTGTAAAAAAACTATTCTGACCATTTCATCATAAGTTTTGAGATCAATTTCTAACCCTAACAAGGGCATGAAAATGCACAGACATATCAGAGAACATACACAGGGGATAGAATCTCGCTTTTCAAGAATTAACTTCTGTATATGATATGTAGATTTTGCAAGTAACCTTTTGAAGAAGTAACTTTTGAAGAAGTTTGATGCAAAAATAGCAAAAGACATTTCTTGTCAGCAACTCCATAGTATTTCTTCTTGTAAATGCAGGACATCACTACTTCCTGATATTCAGTGATGTCTTGGGGAGTTGCAATCATACCAACTTCTGTCAAAGTGATTACAGCAAATAAAAACCCAACATCCCTTGGTTATACATTCTATTCTGGAAAACACAGTTAAAAATTCTCCTAGCTTCAGGAATTCCAGCCTGTGAAAACTGAAGGCAGCTAGTATGTCTTTCAGCTTCATCACTGAAAACTTAAAACTTTGTACAAGCTTAGGTACAGAAAACAGCACGACAACTTTCCATAACGTGGACAAAAATGTTACCAAACTATTAATATCATCATTAGAATGTGGTTTTGGAAAGTTTCATCACAATGAGTGTTCATTCAAGTGCTTTCTGGAAGAGAATCCACCTATTCCAAGAGAGTTAAAACAATTACTGAAAGTAACAGCCGTTGAAATCAGAGTATTGCCACAAATTTTAAATAGTTTATATAATGCTTCTGGTACTCTGAATTAAAGCTGAAACAATTACCTTCTGTTCTAGTTCATTCTTCCTGTAGTTGATGGTGATGGAATAGTAATGTCTGTTTAGTCCATGGATTAGTGCCTGCAAAATTAGGGGAGAAACTGAATTAAAATCACCCACCGCTGAAATGAAGGAGAAAACTTGTTTCAATATAAACATCTTTAAACACCACTCAAATAAAGGAAAAAACACCAAGAAAAAAATGCAGAGACTACAAGGAGATATGAAGTAAATATACCTGGTTCTATTTCTCTTTTCGTGTTCATTAACTGACAGTTATGTTTTCTATTTCTAAACCACAGATTTTTTTTCACACAGTAGCAACTATAATAAGAAAAAATGGTAACTGCCTTCAAACATTTGACCGATACATATGCACAAACATATTTCTCTCAAATCCTTCCTCTCTCAATAAATTTGGTTATCATTGCTATTAAAATATTCTGTTACAAACAAAAGACTATTTGCTATCTATTTATTTATAACCACTGTCAATATTCCCAAGTTCATTCTCCAGGGTACAACATGAAGAGGGATAAACTGAAGCAAGCAAAAACCTCAGTTAGACAATGTGTATCAAATTAACCTTGAATATTGAAACAAATTTTATTTTTAAACTGTAAATTAAGAAAAAAACAAACCACCTTTTTCACTATAATTATGTCCTCTGCAAATACAATCTGATCAACAGAGATTAGCTTAAGCGATAGCTGTATGCACGTATTTTCTATTTTGCTCACTCAAATTATGCATTTCTTTTTACATTTATGACTTAAGGGTGTGTTGTACTAATATTTGTGGAGGTAAAATTCTATGATCAATCTGCATCACAGTAATAGAGTCTATTTTATATTATAATTTTACATATGAAGTATACATTTACAAACAAGATACAATAAATCATACATAAAGTATGCTGAATTAGTGATAAATCTGTTTCAAGCATTCCATCTATTTAAGTTTAAATGTATATTTAGAGCTAGCTATACAAAATAAATGTGTATTTGCATCCTATGCAACTTAATATTTCAGAATTATAAAGTTATCTGTATGAAAGCTGAAAATGTTTTCATACATACATTTTCTGCAAACACGTATACAAGGATAAAAAACTACTCGAAAAGTTACAAGAATTAGCACTTACATAAAACTATTACTTGTGCAACTTATTTTAACTAAACTTGTAAAATACAGGCTTTATTATCAATAACAGAATTTATAGTTGAAACTATTAACAGTAAGTATTTTCCACTGCCATTTTCTTATCTCACTCAAAATGGATGCTTGATTGAGGTTTTGGTGTTTGTGTATAAACTCATATGTAGATATTTAGGAAGTTTTCTCAAGTTCTTAAAGTTTGACAAACAGGTTTGCCTTCTCCCACTATCCCTTTCCTCACCCCTTCCATAAAAAGAGTGGGCAAATGTAAAAGGTAAACAACCATTAAAAAGCTGTTGGTAAAGGAACTCAAGAAAAGCACACACACACAAAAAGGGAAAGAAGCCAAGGCATGTACTACTTTATTATCACTGGGTCAGAATTTTATTCAAGGCTTAAAATAAAAGTAAAACAACACTGCAAGGGCTCCTGCAGCTTTAGGAACAGAGTACCATTTAAAATTATGATTTTTATCATAACAGTGACATTTGCAACAGCTCATTGCCAGCTTGCAAAAAATCAACACAACACAAACAAAAACTACCCATTTTAATAGCAGAAACCCAAAATCCCATGGCCAAAATATGCCACACTGTAGTGACAGTGATCTTAAAATAATGAAGCTGAACAATACTGAAGGGGTTTCCAAGGGAAAGCATTACACATGGTCTAGAAAAGCTCAGTTAGAAAAGCCCTGAAACATGCAAGCATGGGCTTGCCTACATCCAATCAAGAGTATTAGCTGCTTATTTCATACTCATTATTGTTTGCAGTTTTGACCAATTTAAAAATCAAAAGTAAAACACAGCCTCCTAAAGCAGACAGTCTTTAATTTTAAGATGCTTTTTTGTTAGCATTTTTATTAACACCAAAGAGTTTCAACGTAATAGTAACAAAAAAGCAACTTATCTTTTGCCAGATAAGGGTATGGTGGTCTAGGACCTCCCAAAGGATGGCTCTTAGAGCACAAATTCAGCCATTATTTCAGTTCTGCTCTAACTAGTGCATGGTCTTTTTCTTGGGTGTTTACCTAGCAAAATATTACTTCTATTGTTCAAGTAATGGAACCAAAAGCAGGAGCTGGGCTTCATGGTTTCAAGGACACATGCCTTTAGAATACATAGTAGAGGGGGAAAGATTTTTAAAGGAATAATCAGTGAGGCAAAAGAACGACAGGGATAAAAACATAATCGCTCCAGAGGATACTTGTTTCAAGATAGAAGCTATTTCTCAAAATAAAGACTTGCTTCAGTAAAGACCAAAAATTTTGTCTTTTTAGTGGAAGTCAACTTCAGAAATCAAACTTTGAATATTTACGTTTCACAAATGTGTATACAAAAGAAATACTAGAGCAGAAGCCAATCAAGCATCCATTTTGTCCATCGAATATCCTCCTCCACCATTTTTCAGCAAATTACTACATTACATAAAAAACAGGGATTAATTATTTAAGACACAAGGTTTAATCTAGATTACATAATAAGCAAGAACCTCTATAAACTTATAGTAAAAAGAAGAGAGAACTTTTTCCATAATTTATTTGTGAGTAACTTGAAGAGAGATGTTGAGAAGCAGCAGTTTTTAAGTGGGACTGAAAACAGCACTTGTCTTGCATCACATGTTATGTCATCAATTGACACTTTAAAAAGTTTGCATTTCCATAAATTTATACTTGAATCTTTGCTGTACACATTAAATAATTGCATTCACTCTTAGATAGCTAATTTAGGGCTCAATTTTAAACTCCTCACATATACATGTCCATTGATGAATCACATCAATTATAAATGCATGTGGAAATATGCAATAGAGAGAACAACAAATAATTTGTAACCTACTGTTTTAAATACCTTTCCCCAAAATTGATGAATAAATCTTGCAATTTACAGGACTAGCAGCACTAGGTTTACCTGGATAGATGGCTTGTTTAGGTGACCCAGATTTGAAGTTGTTTGTCTTGGTTCATGTCCTAAGACCATCATATTAGCATTGATCAATCTGAAGGCATCAATAACAACCTGTAAAAACAAGATGTCAAGTCAATTCTTTTTAGAAAATGCAAGTAATAGAGCCAAGCAACAGTGGACAAGGCACAATCAACTCTCATCTGTTTTTGGCCTTTATCCAGAAAATCATTTAATTATAATATTAATAAAAAAGAACCTCCTGCTGGCTATGTGATCAGCACACTACACTACCTTGTATTGTAAGGTGACACCAATTATTACCTTTTCCATGGAACTGTAAGTTTTATATACATTATATCACCATGCAATATTGAATTTTATGTACACTTACTCTAAGCCTCAAAACTATGCATATGTTTGTCACCTAAATCTTATCCAATCAAAATGAATGACAGAGAGAGACTAAAACTGAAAGTGAGCACAAGCTAAGGGACCAAGTCTAAAGCCCAGTCCTGTCACATCAATTATACTACCACAATACTTGAAATGACAACAAAATTATAGCCAGCAAGGAACTTGCCCCATGTATTCCCTTCTAGTCAGATGCTTTTTGCTTCTTGTGACTACGAAAGGGTCTATAAACTGTCTGATGGATTAAAAAGTCCTTGTCAGTGTCATGCTCAGGAGTAAAAAATAGAGTAAAAGAAAACCAAGGTCATTTATGATTTAAAGGTACATGGCAGGCAGCATTCAGTGCTATTTTATTGCAAATAATGTAAGCCCATCACTGATTCTTACTCTGTCCTGTGCTAAATTTGTCTATGAAAATTTTTGCAAAGAGAAATTCATGGTCCCATGCAATAAAACCCCCACCCCTGTCCAAAACATATAGCAGCTGAAACAGACCTAAGAATGTACCAACAACACACTCAAACCCACTCTTATTGTGTCCTGAGCAGCACAGGCTTGTAACTGCAAGAATAATTCTTGTTTAGGTTCCAGTCTTTTAACTGGACCAGAGCAGGTACAGCCTTGCATGTCCACTAAAGCAGCAGCAGGCAGACTTTGCAGGCATCTTGTCTGCATATGTTTGGAGAATTAACTTAAATCTCCTTTTAACAGCTTTTCTGTAATAATTTTTATTCTTTTCTGCTCTGTACTATGAGTTGGACAACAACAGATGCATTTATATGGTTGGTTTAATATTTTGAGAAATTAGACTTGAACCTTTACATTGAACAAACAAGAAATCCACCAATGTCCCAGAAGTCCGCAGAGAAAGTGACAGTCTCCCACCTTGTTCCAGCATTTTCTTCTCCATTTACACAAATAATAATAACTAAATAATGTGCAGTTTTTAGGATTACAAAAAAAAAAAAAAAATTGAGGTCCTTCATGTGGAAATGAAGTTAATTGGCAAGTATTTATAACAAAAAAAAAAATCATCAGGTGTAAACAGAAAAAACCCACAAGCTTATCACCAGTTATGATTTACTTTTGAGACCCATGTGTGACAGTGGTGTTGACTGAGTGCCACTAAGGGCTATTGATGGTCTCTCAGCTGCTGGCCAGATCCACCTGCATATGACATGTCTTCAAATTGCATGCAGAAAACCTTCCAAAAAAGATCTTCTTTATTAACAATGTTCAGTTGTGACCCAATTAAAATTAGTTACCAGTGATATTGTTTTTTTCTGGACAACAAAAAAAAAAAACCCCACAATTCAGATTTAGAATGCAGCAGAAAAAAACCCCCACAATTCAGATTTAGAATGCAGCTGAAGTACACTATATTATATATATAGTGTATATATAATATATATATTATATATATATAATATCTGATATTAAAGCTACAAAAAAAAGGAATTACATTTAGAATAATACTCAAAATTATCTAAAACAGTTACTATATATCGATACATTCCTTCTCATAAGAAGTAATTGGGTTTTTTCATATTTTACCTTTTTTCTCTATCTTAGAACACTTTTAACAAGCTTTTGTATGTATTTTTGTATTCCATTTTAACCAGATGCACTAATTTATCAACACCTGGAAATGCCCAACCATAACAAACAGGCAGTATAAATTAAAAAGTCAAGCAAAGAAGAAAAAAAAAAAAAAAAAAAAAAAAAATGCACACCACTGGTTCTCCAGAGACTAGCTAGATAATGGAAAAAAAAAAAAAAAACCTAAGCAAGAAGAATTTACTCTGAGTAGCAAGAAACATGAACTTGGCAGTATACTAGAAAGACAAGGAGTTGCTTTATAGCTTACTAACAGCCCTGCTTCTAGACCTGAATTTAACTGAGAACTTTACCATACAATGTTGAGCTTATCCAGAAAGAATGGCACTGTCCAGCATGAATTTGCTTTGGGGCTAAAGCCATAGAAAATAAAAATTCTTAAACTTTTTTTTTTTTTACAAGAAAATTAAACATTTCAGATTAGTTAAATTTTACATTAAAATATGAGAACAAATTCCTGAATTATTTATGAGTTTTACTGAATATTGCTCAAATATCTTAATTCTGACCAGAAGTAACTTTCATTACATTTCGGGTACAATCTGCATGGGAATACACTGCACTCTCTCTGTCCTCCTGAAGGAATGATATGCAAGTATTTCCTAAGCAGAACAAATATAAATCCAACAGAAAGCAGTATGAAAAACTGGAATCACAAATACAAAATATTATGCTTTAAAGAAGGATAAAATTACAATTCCTACAATCTCAGATGGGTACAGAAAGTAGATGTGCAAATGCTATTTTTCATCTTAGTTGCACTCTGATGACCAATGGCAACTAAATACTTTAACTACACTAAGATTAAAGGAATTTGCTGCTATCACTATAGCAACCATCTTAAAGAAACTAACATGCTCAGCAACCTGGAGGCTAAATTTAGACCTAATACACAATAAAAACATAAATACAACAATAAATATTCATTTCTGTGAAATGTAGTTGCTTTTTTCATAGTGAGCATAAACCAGTCCTGCCTTTAGAGGATTACATAAAAATAAATAGACTCATTAATGTCCAGTGTACTAATGAGCAATGGGTGAAATAGGTGTTAATTATGTCACAGTAAGATCCAAGAAAAAAGCCCCAGTGAGCACTTGGAGGTGTGTACAAGTTGAAGTCTCCTCTCTATGTTTGTGTATTTCGAAGTACAGAATGATGCAGACTGATGACAGAAACATGGTTACCCCCTATTCTATGATGGAAACTTTAGACACAGTATTTTGAACAAAGAATTTCTAAGGACTATTTACACCCAGCACAAACCACCACTCTGTTGCTTAGATTTTTGTTGTAAAAAGTCAGTATTCCCCAACAAAAATATTTAAGCTTTCATTATACTTAAATTACCTATATAATATAGTACAGCATGTACTCTTCTAGTAAAATTTTTTTCCAAGCTTCATGCTGAATTCCTTTCCTAAAAAGACATTAAAAAGTTAACCAGAAGTCTATGCTATTGGGATGTTTTCCAGAAATTTGAAGGTAATTTTTTAAAAAATGCATTTCCATAGTGCAACTATTTCACCACTCTGACCATTTAATTTTTCTTTGTGTAAGTGTCTCCAGACTTTTCAGAGGTCATTTCAACAGCAGACAGCTTATAACAAAACCATTAGCAGTTTGGCTAGCTTAAGGAAACCTCTTACTTTCCTTTTTTGTTTATTATCACTGCATGAATCTGCAGCATATGAGAGTTTATAATTTCTCAGGCTTGTTAAATTCATGTTAAAGGTCTGTTTTCTTGTTGAATAAATTTTGTTCATATAATGCTGCCTATTTCATATACTGAGTCTTTAATAGCACCTTTGGTCTATGCGCAACTCACAGATCAAAACAGAGGACTAAAATAGGGGTTGATGATGCTATTTACATGTGTGATTCCTGCTGTCTTCTTGTTAGTAGCTTTAATATAATAGAAGACCTTGTCTGTTTTGTAATTAACACATCTTTACTGGAGAGATATTTGGAAGTGATTGCTGTGAATATACTGGTTAGTAAAATAAACACAATCACACACCACTTTCTGTTATCAGACAAATTTGTGAATTGTACACATTATACTCCAGATCAACAAACTGTGATATAACAGCCAAGTAGAAGACACATTTATATAACCCTTTATTTTTCTGAAAATATGTATTCAATCTGACCTTGCAAATATAATTAGCTTGTGGGATGTGTGGATTTCAGTACCATGGATGCTTTACTAATTGCAGTTCTTGGAAATAGATACTAAATATTTGGAAGCTGCCAATACAAAATAAAAACTGCATCTTTTTGTACATCTGTCTTAGCTTCAAAATGCATAATAATCTAAAAAACAATAACTATACAGCATTTTTTAGCATTTGCTGGGGGTCAACAGCCCACACTAAAGTCCATAGAATGTATTTTTAGGAAGAAAATTTACAATTATGTCCTGTGTAACTTTCAGGACAGCTATAATTAATATGATTAAAATTTATTCACAATCTAAGATGAGCACTGGACACCTCAACTGCTAGCTAGACAAAATTCTGGCCTCTCCACACAGTTATTAAAAATAATGGCTTGATGAAAATTTAGGGAATTTAGTAGCCAGACTTTTTAAGCTTCTCCTGAAATTATGAATGCTATCACTCTTTAGTTTCGTAATATCAGATATTGATAATACTTGAATATTATCAGTTTCTCTAAAACAGTCTTCATAACTTTGTGGGGTATTAAAAAAGAAATATTAATTCAAGAGGACTTTACACACTTGATTCTTAAATCCCTCCAATATTAAATTTCCAAACAATACTGAATGAAATAGCTCTGCTTTTCAAGTCCCACTACATTTTAGTGGTAAACTTCAGTTAGGCGTAAGTCAGCCTTTATTGTTTAAATTAAAAAAATCTAACATCAATATTTTTCCAGTGAAGAATCTATGGCATATGGTGACTATCTTTAAAAATGCATTGTATCCTTGGAATTCAAATAGCAATGTATTGTTTATGCCGTATGTTTATGAATAAACATACCAGTGCTTAAAGACAACTGCAACGGATAGAGTGTGGTTCTGCCAGGTGTGGAAAAAGAAGTAATGTCCCATCTAAAAC